GCCTGGCCTGGCTTCCCGGGCGGGTCCTCAGCCTGCGGGGCCCACACCCTCCCGCTCTGCTCTGCCTAGGAGTCCCTGTCACCGAGCTCTGGCCAAGCCCACGCCACGGGGGTGTGACGTGCACGGTGACCTTTCAGGTCCATTTTCTCCGCCGCGAAGGCGAGCTCACCTGGGCTCTGCTCTCTGCTGGGTCCTCTGAATGGAGGGCTTCATTTAGGCTGCAACCTATGAAATTGCCAATAAGTCACTGTTCTTAGCCATGAGAGTGGCAACTTCATATGGTTCAACCAAATGCCTATACGAATAGGCCTTCGATGTCCTATCCTATATAATAAAAGCCTAATATGCAAATTGACTGAACTGCGGAATAACCGCTCGCTATGACGTGCGCTGACCACCAGGGGGCAGACGCTCAATGCAGGAGCTGCCCCCTGATGGTCAGTGTGCTCCCACAGGGGGAGCGCCACTCAGCCAGAAGCTGGGCTCATGGTGGCGAGGGCAGCAGTGGTGGCGGGAGCCTCTCCCACCTCCACCGTAGGCGGGTGGTAAGGAGCAAGGTTTCCCGACTGTGAGAGGGATGTCTGACTGCCGGCTTAGGCGGGCGGACATCCCCCAAGGGGTCCTGGACTGCAAGAGGGCGCAGGCCGGGCTTAGGGACTCCCCCCTGCCAGTGCACGATTCCTGTGCACCAGGCCTCCAGTGTTCTATAAATGTCAAAATAGCTGCAGCGACTCTTTTTTTAAATCCTCACTTGAGGAGTGAGGATATTTTTTCCATTGATTTTTTTTTTTTAAAGAGAGTGGAAGGGAGGAGGAGAGAGGAAGAGAGAGATGAGAGGGAGAGGGAGAGGGGGAGAGAGAGAGAGAGAGAGAGAGAGAGAGATCGATGTGAGAGACACATTGATTGGTTGCCTCCCATGCATGCCCCTACTGGGGGGTGGGATTGAACCTGCAACCCAGGTGTGTGCCCTTGACTGGGAATCGAACCTGTGACCCTCAGGTGTGCAGGCTGACACTCTAACCACTGAACCACGCCATCCAGGGCTGCAGCAACGTTTTTTTTACGCTTAAGTTGGCCTATTTCCAGCCCCACCTCCCAGTTCTTAAAGGGGTGCTGGGGGCCAGGGGAGGGGGTTGGCAAGACTACAGGACAACAGTCCTCCTCCTAAAGCTACTTCCAAGGTCATTTCCAGTCCCAGCTCAGGACAGGGGTCCGCTGTTCCCAGGACGATCGGCCAGCTGGCGGCTGCTGAAGCCGGAGCAGGTGCCCCTTAACTCGGGAGAGGATTCAGTGGCGTGGGCCCACCCTCCGGCAGCGAGGCCCTAGCCAGAACAGGAAGTGATGGGCGCACGCTCTCTTCCTCGCGCTTTGGGAAGGAGAACTAAGCGCCCATTGTTGACTCTTTGCCCTGAAACTTCACCGATCAATACAAACTAGAGCAGGACTCCAGGTGGACGCTGACCAGCCTGTGGCAGCCAGTCTCCGCAGCCCCATCCAACAACAAACCCCACAGCCATGCTTCCAGCCAAGATCCCAAGTTAGAAACAACCGAAGCTCACAACCAGGTGACAGGTACTTGAGGAACGAGGAACAGCGTGGGGCTGTTTATTCATTCCGGGCTCCGCGAAGCCAGGGCAGCCGGGCACCTCGAAGCCAGGGCAGCTGGGCACCGTGAACAGGGCAGCCAGGCACCGGGAAGCCAGGGCAGCCAGGCACTGGGAAGCCAGGGCAGCTGGGCACCCCGAAGCCAGGGCAGCCAGGCACCGGGAAGCCAGGGCAGCCAGGCACTGGGAAGCCAGGGCAGCTGGGCACCCCGAAGCCAGGGCAGCCAGGCACCGGGAAGCCAGGGCAGCCAGGCACTGGGAAGCCAGGGCAGCTGGGCACCCCGAAGCCAGGGCAGCCAGGCACCGGGAAGCCAGGGCAGCCAGGCACTGGGAAGCCAGGGCAGCTGGGCACCCCGAAGCCAGGGCAGCCAGGCACCGGGAAGCCAGGGCAGCCAGGCACTGGGAAGCCAGGGCAGCTGGGCACCCCGAAGCCAGGGCAGCCAGGCACCGGGAAGCCAGGGCAGCCAGGCACTGGGAAGCCAGGGCAGCTGGGCACCCCGAAGCCAGGGCAGCCAGGCACCGGGAAGCCAGGGCAGCCGGGCACCCCAGAGCCAGGGCAGCTGGTTTCCTGGGGAAGAAGGGGACGTTTAATCTCCAACATGCCCGGATCCTGGAAGCAAACTCCCCAAAGTCGAGCCAAGAAAACCCAGAGAGTTTTGCGTGTAACAGACATTATTAAATGAGCAAAGTTTTTTTTAGAGAAATGAGCCCCCCGCCCCCCAACTTTGGTAACTGAGCCACACCATGGAGGGAGACACATCCAAGGAAATAATTGATCCCATGAAGCTTCCTGGCCCAGCGGCCTGGCGTCAACCGCATCGCGACATTTAAAAAATATATATTTCTATTGATTCAGAGAGGACGGGAGAGGGAGAGAGAGAAACATCGATGATGAGAGAGAATCCTGGCTTGGCTGCCTCCTGCATGCCCCCCACGGAGGATCGAGTCTGCTAGTGGGCACGCGCCCTGACCGGGAATGGCCACAGGTCCTGGCTCATAGGTCGACGCTCAGCCACTGAGCCACGCGGCCGGGCTGAACCAGTTTGTGTTGCTTTTGACCACGGAGCCCTAACGGGAACCCTGCCTGATGCCCTGTACACACGCAGCAGGAGGCGCAGCGGGCCCACGGGGCGGTGCTCGAGAGGAAGGAGGCCGTGGCCCCCCAGTAAGTCTGGGCTCGCGTGCCACGTCCCCCAGGAAGAGCTGTGTCCGCGGGCCCCTTACCTCGCGCTGGGTGTCAGCCTCATCCGGAGGCTCTACGGACACGCCCTCGCCGTCCTCCCTCGCCGAGGCTGTCAGGGAACTGAGGGTGTGCGCACCTGGAGGGTGGCCGGCTGGCCCTGTGGCCGGTGGCTCCCTGTGGAGGCAGCGAGGAGAGCGACCGCCTCCTGGCTTCTCACCCGGTTGGTGTGCTGTCGGGGGTGCCGGGTGCCTGCTGGTCC